TTCATAGGATGAGTTAGGAAGTGTATTCTCTTCAATTTTTTAAGAAGAGTATTTGAGAAGGTTTCGTGTTAATTCTTTAAATATTTGGCAGAATTCATTGGTAAAGCCATCTAGTACAAGGCTTTTCTCTGTTGAGAGATTTTTGATTACTGATTCAATCTCTTTACTTGTTATAGGTCTGTTGAGATTTTCCATTATTCTTGAGTCAGGTAATTTATATGTTTCAAGGTATTTGTGCATTTGTTCTAGGTTGTATAATTGGTTGGTGTATAATTGGTTGGTGAACAATTGTTACCTAATTAAAAAAAATTTTTTTTAGTTAACATTTATTGAGCAAGTGGGTATCTTGAAGAAACTAAAACTAAAAGAAATTAAAACTCAAAGAAGTTAACTAACTTTTCCAGGGGATTAACATCTAGAATACAGTGGAGATATAATTTATTGTGAAATTCTCTGATTTGATATTTTACACTCTTGGGGACATGGTCCTAGTGTTTGTGATTTTAAGAAAATCTGGCTTTTTTGCTATGAATAAAATGTGACATATGTGTGGGGTTATTCAAATGACATCTTGTAAAGCCAGACATTTCCATCTCTTCCAGAAAATCTCAAAGCACAGGTGTATAACCACTATAGAAATACTTGATTATTTAAATTTATCTACTTGGAATCAAAGCATTTCTGAGGTTCTCCAGATTAGTACCCTCATTTTAAAATGAGAGTGTTGAGGTCCAAGAAGATAATATGTTCACCTGTGTAAACTAACCTAGTTTTATGGAGGTCAAGAATTATTTTAATGGTGTCCTCCTTCATGTATAGAGGCTATCTCATTGATGATCTGTCATTAAGGCATGAACTTTGAGTTGTTTTCTGAGTTGATTTTTTGTAATGGGGATAGATTTATATCAGTTCATTCACAGACACTTAATTGCCATCGTGAAAAATTCCATGGATTTTCAAATGATTGACTGAGGGTCTGAATGCTATAAAATAAGTGAAGAAACTAAGATTGATTCTTGATTCTTAGCTTCTTTAAAGGTATGGAAAACAAAGCAGATGATCTTAGAAAAAGTCTTGGGATCATGATTCTTTTCATCATTGATCTATTATTTGATGAACAGAGAAGAAATTTAGCAAGAAAAATAAGAGCATGGTGATCTCAGCAATATATATTATAATCCTTACTATTTTTTTTGTCCATTTCTCCTCAGAACAAATTGATTTTGTTTTATTTTTATGATTCTAAATATGTTTCCTATTACCTGCTAACTTTTGCTGCAGTGTAATGTCCCACAAAGATAAATTCAGACTTATGGCATTCCCTGAGTAAGAGGACTTGTGATATTTTGCTACACTGAGTATAAACATCTAGGCAAGACTCATGCAAAATGGTATGTCCAAGTTGGCAGTGGTGGTTTCAATTTAAATATTTCCATATTGTAGCAAGAATGGCCATAGCTCAAAAAAGTGAGGTCTATAGGTTGTTTGGCAACTTATCACATTCATAATGCCACCACACAAAAATTTGTGAAATAGTTAGGGATGTGTATCATATTTTTCTTCTGTTTGGAGAGTGGGAAGTGAGGTTTGAAATTTAATTCCCACTTTGGAGAAAGTGAATCCTGTCTCCCAGGTCTATTTTTTCTTCTCTACTCCTCCCAATCTCTCCAAATGGTCTCTCCAATGTTTTAATATCTGAAATTTAGTATCTCAGGATACTACAACCAGCTCAATCCCATTGTCTTCCTGAAGACTGAAAGTAAATGGACAGAATTTTACCAACAGGATTGTTGGCTCTTACAAAAACCTGGAATTTATATCAGAATTACACAAATTAGAAATATTATTGCAAGAGGTAGCCCGAGTCTAATAGGTCCTAGGTTCTTAGTACAAGCTCCTCTTCTCCTGTGATTAAGTCCTACTAAGTTTTGGCTTCATTTTAGTTTCTCTTAAAATTTAGAAATTTACTTTCTCTCATTTAGGGATGCTTATTGTGAGGCTGCTTTGATTTCAAAGGAATGTTGCCTATTCTGACAAGTAAAACTAATGTCAAGCAAATTTTCCATAGGTTTAAAATCCTGTTGTGTATTTGTTCTGTAATATTCAGGTAAAAATGGTCAGTTGGAATATCTGGAGGGTTGGACATATAGATTTACAGAATGAACACTATTCTTCATATTTGTTTTTGTAGGTCGTCTTCTTACACTAGATGTAGCAAGGGACTGATTACAGTAGTGCCTAAAGCCAACCTGTTCCAACAGGCTTCATCTTCCTTTGTACAAATTTTAAAAGAATGGGTCCTCACGTAAGCATTTCAAATCCAGAAACAAATTTGAAAAAAATTGCTACAACATGTTGACTGATTCCTTGCCAAGTCAGCCACTGAGAACTTTTTCTTGATTGACTCTTACACAGAGAACATTAGAGGGGGGTGGGGAGATGCATGTAACTTTTTTATTAAACAAGGAAACTCACAATATTCTTAAATCCCTCTCGCTCTTAAAATTTTCTTTTACTTTTAATCTCCCTCTTCTCTCTCATCTTCTACCTTTCCTGCCTCTTCCCTTTTCTCTCTCTTCTATTCATTCTCTAGGATATACTCTGTTAATCTAATATATTCATTTTTACTTTTAGTATTGATATAATGATATGTTCTGGAGAAATAGCTTTCTGAAGATTATATTCAGATATACAGATTCAAACCAGCAGAAAGTTTAAAAACATTTAAAAAATATGCTTGTCAGCAGTGGAAAGAAAGCTGTTTGTAGCCAGCAGGTGAGCTGGAGAGTACTACAGGGTGTGGTAGAGATAGTAATAAATTAACTAGCAAGCCAAAAACTATAAAAAAAAAAAAGTTAGCTATTTCATAGCATAGAAGCATGACAGCTATGAAAAAAGGAGTGCCCCAGGGAATTCTTTTAGAGTTTGATTTTTTAAAATATGTTTGACATGAAAAATGTTTTAGTACAAATAAAGCAACTGGTATTAAACTTACGGGGGAAGGGGGAGGGTTGTGGTTCAGAGTTAGTATGAATAATGCATGATATTTAAAGAAAGAACAGCTTTAAAATGTTCCAGGAGGCAGTCTATGTTGATGGTTGGAATGGTGATTTTTCCCCCCTATTTTTGAAGCATCATTAATTCAGTGTCATTTTGTGATTTTTTCCAACCTGATATCTACCAAAGAAATACTATTTGACTTAGATTAGAATATTCTTTCTTCAGATAATTTAGTTTAAATATCAGGAAGATCAGTAGAATTATTTAAGCATAAAGTGACAGTCATTTACTATAAAAAATAATTTGGCCTAGTTATCTTTTTTAAAAAGCTCATGTAGTACTGCAAACCAAAATCAACCTCATGGAAGGGGAAAAACGAGATCAGATATTTGAACATTACTCCATAGGAGACCAGCACAATATAGTGTTAGTGAATGCATTGTAGCAGCGCTCCATATGCAATCAGAAGCCAATTGTTACTGGACTGTGTACAAGCACACACTGTGCTCAATGGTCTGATGAGGTATTATGGATATGATGCAAAGGGACTGTGTAGATTAGAAGCTAACAATTTGTTAAAAGTGAAAGCAACTTAACATTTACATTGGGCCAGCTGAGTAGCACTTCATGTGGCAAGCAGGATGAGTTCCAGGGAACCAGGGGCACCAGGAAGGCTCCAGGTATTAGTGTCCATGCAGGAAAAAAAAGTTTTATTGTTTTCCAGTTGACTGCCTTTATTACTGTGATTTTTTTTTTACACTGTCTCTTCATTATTACATACAGCTTTCAGTGAGGAAAAGTTCAGGCAAAATAGCATGATTATTATAAATGTCAAAAATGTGTGGAGGAACAGCCTATTAAAATATAGCCTAGAGATAGTACATAACACTGACTTTAAATAAGTAGCTGAAGCCAAAGGGATACTCCATTAAGTCACTGATTTTGTGTAACTTATCCACAAATATTAATTTTTGTTTCATTTACTATCATCACAATACATTCCTCATCACTTTCTTTTGGTTCTTCAGGCTGCTGCACATAGCCTATGTCCTTAGGTCACAGAAGTTACTTCTGTTCTCCTATTTAGGAGTGATCTGCAGTCAGAAACACATTAATATGTAGCATTGATCTCTGCTGAACCATGCTCAATCTCTACCAGGCTTTTAGGGCAGATATCTCATATAAAATGTGTGGTTATTTAATCAAATTAACATCAAAGAATGTTTGATAAGTATCTGTGCTAGCATTGATCTCTGCTGAACCATGCTCAATCTCTACCAGGCTTTTAGGGCAGATATCTCATGTAAAATGTGTGGTTATTTAATCAAATTAACATCAAAGAATGTTTGATAAGTGTCTGTGTGCATGATTCTATACTAGGTTCCACTAGTACAGTACTGAGGTTAACCCAGAGAAGTATGGTTTCCACTTTCACTGAGACACCAAGTATTTCACAGAATGCTGGCAAGATAAGATTAGCTGTCTTCTCACCCCCAGCATATTGGAGCAGTTGTAGTGTAAAAATTTTTTTCTCTATGTTTTATAAAATAAAGTTTAGGGTTATGGGCAGTCAATAGCTCATTGTCTTTTTTGAACTCTAATATTGTGCCTTGCCTACCAAGCCAAAACTCTTTGTTGTTCTAATATAAAAACTCAATGCTTTCACAGTGTACTAAGTGTCAGCCTGGCTTTAAGATATTTTTTTACTCTTAAAAAATGATGTATTACAAGATTTGTGATGGAGTGAACATGCTTGAATTGCACATTTAATTTTCTTAACATCACATTCATGTTTTGCCAGTTTGCCTACCAGCTATCTGTTAACAGAAAGTTCCAAGGCAGCACTGCAAGTCTGTGCCCAACTAAGGCTTTTGTTTCTGCAGATGTTTGGGCTTAGAGCAACATTGTAAAGCTCAGGCAATCCAAGGACCATGTTTGTACTTGTCTGCTGCAATTCCCTGTGCATTGTCTAAACCTGTATGCATTGTTCTTTCCGACAGGTGATAACTACCCTGTACAGTTCATTCCATCAACAATGGCAGCTGCTGCTGCTTCTGGACTCAGCCCTTTACAGCTCCAGGTAAGTGCCAGAAGAAAAGAATGTGGGATATGAGCCAGTACTTTAGTGGAAAACTGCTAACCAGCTGTATGCTAAATAATGGCCTGAATGTTAAATAATTTTTAAAGCATAGCCCAGAAGGATTAACACCTTATGTACTTACCATACTGCAAGTAGAAGAGAAAGCTGCCAGTTTCAATATTTTTAAAGGAAAAATGACATTATGACTTAGTACTATGTATTCTCTATCAGGTGAGTTAATAGTTTTATAATTATTTCTGGCTAAATATTATTGGGATATGTTACCTTTTCCTTATCAATGTTTCATTCATGTCTCCATTTATGTCCAGATTAGCTTTTACATATAAGCATCAAAACAGAGAATGATGTGGGATATTTTCCTTCTTGCTGCTCATAGAATAAGGGGTTGTTATTTTCAAATTACTTGACAATTATTTGGTAAAATATAAACACATTGCTCCTGAATATGTGTATCCTCATCTTTTCCAGGGTCAAAAGTATGGACATGGTGTCTGACCAAGTTCTGGATTAGTGTTCTTTATTTAAAAGCTAAATTTGGGGGAAAAGTGTATCTTCTTCACACTAAAACGAGGAGTTTAGAATAGGAGTAGATAATCTTTATACCCTTCTGATAATGCCATTTTAATAGGAAACTGATTTTAAATATGAATATGTATTTTAATGAATAAAAACAAAAAGGCAATATCAATAAAATAACAGTCAATCCTTCAGTATTTAAATATTTAGAAAATATGAGGGTACTTCAAAAAATTCATGGAAAAGTGCAATTGAAAGATAATACAAATCTTTCCATGAATTTTTCGAAGACCCCGAATATAATAATGAACAACTTGAATTTCAATACAGTGGAAAGTTTGTTAAAGATAGCTTTTTATTCTTAAAATTTATTGTGATTATTTTTGAGCTTTTAAAAATAATCTGGGGACTAGCATCTGGTGAAGCATTTTTATTTTTATGGGCTATTTCCTATATGACTTGAACATATAAAGTGTGTGACTATTGTACCACAAAAAACCACCATTTTGAACATTTTCAATTGGTTCTACAAATAAAGAATTTTTGCAATACTTTGAGTTTTTGTCATAAGCCTCATCCAAGAAGTCATGATGATGTTACCCATTATGAGCTGTCTAGCAGAGCTAGAAATTTTGCCTAACAGGAGCTGCAACCCTACCTCTCTGTTGCAAACCTTCACCTTCCATACCACTAACACTGGAACCTACTGCAGTTGGTGGAAATCTGAAAAGAACCCGCACATTGGTAAACGTAATCTATTTATCCTTTTCCTAGAGCTATGTTATAGAGTATCTTCTTGAGTCAGAGGCAGAAATAAGAAACCAGTACCATTGTTTGATCCTATAACCAAGTTTCTGTAAAAGAGAGAGGCTGCTTCTTAAACCTTCCGCTTTCCATTCTTTGATGTGGTCAATACCCTGAATTTAGAAATGTGTGTTCTATTTTGTGACTTCTGACAGTTTGTTTTGTCTTTTTTTTTTTTTTTTTTCTGAATATGCTACTAAACAGAAGGGTCATGTCTCCCACCCACAAATTAACCCAAGGCTAAAGGGCCAAATTGACCGTTTTGGCAGGAATTTGGACACCTTTGAACATGGTGGTGGCCACTCTTACAACCACAAACAGATTGAGGTATGAATGCTTCCATTGGTGCTTCACTGGGTGGGGACTGGATTGTTCAGTCATATTCTAGTCTTTTTAAAAAAGTGGCAAACACTCAACCTAAACTCTAAAACCTACTCTTTCCCTTTCTCTTCATTTGCTCTTTTGCTTTCAGAGAAAAAGGCAAACTCCAAACCAATGCCCCCAAATTAGGTTGTTTATTGCTATATATATGAGAGGCCTTCAAAAATGTTATGGAAAGATTTGCCTTATCTTTTGGTTCTATCTTTCCATGAACTTTTTGAAGTACCCTCTTATTCAGGCAAATTCTTTACATTATGGGTGTCTTCAAAACCATCTTTCTTTCTTTCACTCTTTCATCTTTACTTGTGTTTAAAAAATACTTAAACATTTTTTAAAAATTCATTTGACCATATAATAACCCGCAAACTTGACAAAATATAATTTTGCTTATACAAATAAACCAGCTGAGGTTCAAAGAGGTCAAATTATTTAACCAAGACTATAAAATATTCATTGAGTCAGAGTTATTACCTAGGATTTCTTTTTTTTTTTTTCCTTTTTGTCTTTTTTTCGTGTCCGGCAACGGATCGCAACCCTCAGTGTCGCGCCCGTACCGGACCGGGACCGGCAATGGGATCGCAACCCTCGGTGTTGCGCCCACACCTCGCTCAGCCAGTGAGCGGGAACCGGTCTGTATGTGGGATCCAAACCCTCAGCGGGAGCGCCGCTGCACTCCCAAGCGGCGCACTGTAGCAGTGCGCCACCGGGTCGGCCCATACCTAGGATTTCTAACTACCTAATTCTGGTTTCTTAACTTAGTTTTCTCAGGCTGAAGCAGGTGTGGGTACCTGGGCCTTGTTGGTTGCTTTTTGCCCCATAAACTTCTGTAGAATCGTTTCCATATTTAACCTTCTAATAAAGCTCTTTGTTGTTTTTGTGGTATATTATTACTACTTGGGAGAAGATGGCTTACATGGATCTTAAAAATGAAGTCCTCTTCTGCTACAGGGACCTAGTACTCTTCTTTCCAATTTCAAGTTTAATTCCTCTCCTGTATCATTGGAGCCCCTCTCTGTGACTGTCAGATATTGAAGGATTGCTAGCTGTTGAATTTAAAAAAATGGAAACAGCTTACCTCAAACTGAAACATACTGTAATTTTCTGGGTTAGATCTAATACTAGATTTTATATTCTAACCTAGGATGGGAAACTCAACCCCAAAAAGGAAAATAATTACATCTAGCAAGGTTGTATATTCAGCATTTATTAGCTCTGCCAGTCTATGTATATCAAATAAACATTATGTAATCAATAAAGGGTCCCTTGGACATCATCTTCTCTGCTGCTTTTGAATTTGCCTTTTTAGAAATGATAGGGAATGATCACTCCTAAGCAGGAAGAGGACAAGATCAAAAGCCACCTTGGAAGTAGCCTAAGGAAGCGTTCCAGAGCTTGTTGACTGCCTCCCTCTTTCCTTTCCCTTTGATATGGAAGGTAGACAGGGGGTTTCCACTCAGACATGACTAGGCACATACTGTCAGGGTATCTGCTGTCTTCTGTACAACCAGAAGAGATTTCTTTTCTAAGGCTTTCTTTTGGCTGTAGAGAGAGTGCCATATTTCAGGGCATTCTGAAAATCTTCTGTGCCTAGGAGAGCTTAAAGGAGAGATAAATGGACATTAGGAGCACGTTTTTCTGTGTGATGACAGTTAGCAATCTTACCCACTCAGGACAGTCAGCTTGAGAAGCTTTTAAGTGTTTGGAAGAATGTGAAAGCAGGTGGCCTTGGCTCAAACTCAAGACTTCCTCTTCTCTTTGACTTTTATTTTCTGTTGAGGTATTGTGTTCTATCTCATCAACCTTCTCTCAGCCAGGTTTCCACCCAATTTCCTCTTTTGCCTAATTTTTCACTAAAGTTGGTTTCTCCTCACCCCCTACCTCTTCGACCCCTGATGTGTCAGTTCTGGCTTCTGGAAACCATGTTGTCATATGTATGAGTGCCAGAGCTGCGTAGTGCTATAGCAATGCTGATCTAGAAGCACAGCATATGCCACATGTCTGTCACTTTAATTAGGTTAAATAGGGAACCCATTAATGCCAGAGCCTTCATAGCTTTGCAGTTTGTTTGGCTGATTTGAGAGTTTCCTGGGTTTTTGTTTATTCTTGCTTATTTCTCTTGCCTCCATTTTTTTTGCACCTTTTTCCTGCATGTCAGGAAAACTTTGATCTGTTTACTTGTATGGTACACTAGTTAGAAAAGATTGAAATTTGAGAGGCAGGTTTCCCAAACTTTCCTAGTGTGAGTATAGCATGTTTATTAGGACATCCATGAATAGCACAGTAGAGACCCATGTCTAAGCTGCTAGACAGTAACATTTTAAATCTTGAACAAAGGTAGATGGAAATTTTAATAATATCTTGCTTTATTGCTGTTAAACTCTGCTGCTGTTTTTCTCCTTTGACAAGCTAAAATGTCACAGCTCTGTCAACAATCATGATCATGATTAACTATTGATACTAACGAAGTGTTGCAATTATGTTTACTGGTTTTATTTCTAAACAGAGATTCTTAGAAGGAAAAGTCCACACAGATATATTCTCACCCCCTCTCCCCCCACCCCCATGCAATGCATGGCTCAGAACTGGTCCTCTCTTCCTAGTGTTACAGTTAACTTGTCCTTCAAAGGTTGCCATTTCTAACATTAACGGGCCAGGGTAAATCTTAACAGCATTTTTAGTTATACCCTGGAAACCTGAAATTTTGTTAAAAGTAGAGAAAGGGTATTTAAAATGGAGAGACCCTCCTTACATTAGCGTAATCAGTTATTTCTCTTTTTAAAATAAGGAAGATGTAGGAAAGACCTTTTTTTTGTACTACTGTACTGATCTAAGGCATGGTTTTCTCTGCCTCAGGGGCACAATATTAGGAGAGAGAAGACCAAAGAATGCTATTTTTAGTTGAACAGTTCAGCAGATGGAGGCATGAATACTCATATATCTGAAGGTTGAGGGGCTTGAACCATTAATTTTGATAATGTATTTAACCCTGGGAACAATCAGAAACTGTAACTCTAAGGTTACAATGCTTTTGACCTTTAGAGAACAGAGGGCACTTGTTACAGTAAACAATATATTATATTGCTACTTATTCCAATTCTCCCTCCCGTATAAATTTCAGGACCACTTGCCATTTGCTTTCCTCAGCTATGTTAGCATTGGTCCTTAAGTAAGTCAAAAAGAATGTTAAGGAAAGGAGACCAGTATAATGAGGCAGTCATGTAAATATGGCCTTTAAATAGCTAAAATGTTATATTGTTTCTGAAGAAATATTGTCTCAGGAACTAAGCTCTGAATGATTTTTTAAAATTTATTTTTAATAAAAAAGTGGTTTCAGTGTCTTGATTTATTTTATGTGGTTACTTTCAGTGTGACAAATTCTTAAAATAATTTTGTTTTCTTTCTAATTGTAGTAATGTTGCTTCAGTTGTAGTTTATATTAAACACAATCTGGTACCATATGCAAAGTGATACACCTGTCTCATGTCTTCTTATTAAATGATGCATGCTTCTCTTTAGCAAATACAGCAGTTAAATATCACACAGCTTAAGAATTTCTAATTAAAATATCTCCATGTGTCAGCATATTGGTAATGTATTATTTTAATCCATTTATTTTGTTTATGAAACAGTGACATATGTTTAGATTGTGAAATATATGAGCCTTAAAAATCATTTTATTGAGGAAAATTAATTCCTACAATACTTTCTCCGTAATGTGTTCACTCACCCAGTCAGTCACTGACGGCACTGCCAGTCTTAATGTTGAGTAGACACACGAGTTTCATTCACATAACCATCTTGGAAAGAAGCATAATAGTTCTTTTTCTCAGCTCCAAATGATAAAGATTTTCTTTCTTTACTTTTTTCCTTGCACCTTAATTTAAACCTGTCCCCCAAAAACATTTTTGTTGCTTTTAAATTATTTTTTTTAGTACAATGAAGGATGGGACTGAATACACTTTACTTTTTTCCTTGCACCTTAATTTAAACCTGTCCCCCAAAAACATTTTTGTTGCTTTTTAAATTATTTTTTTTAGTACAATGAAGGATGGGACTGAATACATGTATAAGGGATTCTGAAAGACCAATCAAAATTAAAACAAGCTAGTTACCTTTTCAAAGTTAGACATAGTAATTTATTTGTCAGCAGGGAGATGTTTGGGTCAGCCCTGAGATAAAGTGACTGTCAGCAGTTATTCCTACAAGACAAGTAATTTCACTCAAAGTGTTACTGACAGATTGCTTACTTCTCTGAATCACCAGAGAAAACAAACTTAATATTGTTACAGGCAGAGTTTCTGTCTTCATTAGCTTCAGAGAATGATTTTTATCGAGCATTCAAAGCCCACCAAGCATTAGTTTGAACATATTTTAACAGACTAATTCTTATAATGTTAGTATGGGTAGTAGCCTAAATGAAAGAATTGCATATGAAAATTAAAAAAATATTAATATAAATACATTTGCACTTTTATATGATGGCCATTATGTGTAGTTTAGGGTAGATTTGAGGAAAGGAATATTATTAGAGACTTAAAGTGCTAAGAAAACCTATAACCATAAATTATTTTTAGATAAAACTATTAAAGTCTTGCCAAATTTGCCAAGATGGAGCAGAACAATTGAAGTTTTTGCAAAAGTAAATGCAAACACATATTTTATTTGAATGAATTGTCAATTTTCTTGCTACAAATGAAAAGTGAAGAAATGTCCATCAACATTGGGAATGCTGTATTTCTATTTTAGTTCCATCCTGAATCTTTATGATATTAGATTCTCTGTACTGGTTTGTATCCTGTCTTTTCATTTTCAGCTGTAAAAATGCTTCAGTGCTAATGGGGGAATGGGAAGGTGAGTTAACTTTGCTGGGTGGGCTTGGGAGGTTGTGATTTCTAATGAAGAAGAAGGTTGAATAAAGAGTTGATTAGAGTGACCTATTACTGGGT